AAAAAAAAAAAAAATGAATCACAATTTGTATAAAAGAGAGAGAATCTTACATCGAAAAACACGACATTGCGATTCGAATAACGATCGTGCCTATCAATGCCATCAAATCGCTGAGGAAATTGCACGTAGCATATTTTCTTTCCAGCTTGAGGGTCCATCATGAAACACATAGCTTCTCTAAGGGCCTTGCTGTTGTTTATGTAGTGATCACAATCAACGTTCAGTAGGTAAGGTGCATTTGATATGACAGCTGAAACCCGAATCTGTGAGTGGGGAAAATCAATTATGGATTAAAGTTCTGCTTGTCTGCGAATAAGTGGAACAGAAAATGGTGAGAAAGACAAGTACCAAAGCATTCATAGCACCGGCTTTCTTGTGGTGATCAAATCCAGGCCTCTTTTCACGAGAAACATAAACTAGACGAGGCAACTCGTTCCCTTCAAGATCCCGAACCCCATTTTGCCCCAAGAATACCTTTAGAGCAAACACAGGTTAGTTTTCTAATACTTCTTAAAAAATTGCATTATTATTTTGATTAAAAATTTTGAATAAATACAAAGGCTAGTATTGAATTAAGTATTATCTACTACCCCCGAGGCAAACCCAAGTACATTTGGATAATGTCATCTTTTACCCCAAAAATATAGTTCAATTTATAAAATCAACTAATATAGGTTATTTGCAAAACAAATAACAAAATCTCAAGGGTGCATTTGTACATGTAATACATGAAAAGAATATTCATAATTTCAGATGATACTTGGTTTTCTCTTTTTCTTGTATGTGTAAACCTTTAGGTATAGTTTACTTAATTATCAGTTATCACTAATTCTTTTGCAAAAACAAAAATTGAAATAAACCTGGATCATTCCAGGATGATCCCTGACACTATTTCCAGGCCATGGGGTACCGTCTTGCATGGTCCAGCCCTCCTCCGGAACCTTCTCTGCCATAGCAACCAGTGCGTTGATTCGAACTTTAAACTCTTCATACTCTCTCTGCATGATTTTTTTTTTCCACAAAAAGTTCAGTTATCTTATCAGAGTTGAACACAAAAATGCCCAGTAAAGAAAGTAAATAATAAAAGAGAAAAAAGAAAAACAAGATACCTTCATTGCACGACGTTCCCTGACGAATGTAGGCTCCACCTTGTCTTTCAAATAGTCGAGCTTCTGAGCAAAGTACCACTCAGGGGCTCGAGGCTCAATGCTGAATTTCTTGCAGAATGGGACCCACTTCCTTGCGAACTCAGAAGTCTCGGAAAGTGCTTCAAATGTAAGCATTGCCGCACCATCATCCGACACATAGCACGCAACCTTGTCAACTGGGTAATCACAGGCAAGTATAGACAAAACTGTGTTTGCCGTAATAAGAGGAGGTTCTTTCATGGGGTCCACCGTACTCACAAACACGTCAACCGAAGCCAGCTCGGACGGCTTTCCATCCTTCTCATACCTGCCGAAGAATTTCAAACATGAACAATTCCACAAGTTACTACTTACTACTAAAGAAATTTCCAAAAAAACGAGGAACCACTTGGGAACCTTACAATCATATACCTTAAAGACAGTCTGTCCAAGTATGTTTCTCGCACAATGGGGAACCACTTGGGAAACTGATCAAATATCCAGGAGACAGCAAACCAAATCTCGCATATAATCGATGTTAGCCACAGACCATACGCATCATTGACCGGATGAAGGATTCTGTAATGAAAGAACAGTCCAACGATTACCATCCGCAGTAGAATGATCATTCTGTAAGGATTGATCTTGCTTGAAGGAATCGGTAGCTTCCTCGAAAGTGGTTGTCTTCCTTCATCCATCCTGTAAAGAAAGAGTAAGAGAAAATCCTAATATCAGATACTCCAATTAACGTTATAACTTATGCAAGAACTTTTTGTTTGTTTTATGACTTTATCCCTCTTCGAGATGACTTGTAGCAAGCAAATGGCAGTTGATTTTTTTTTTTTTTTTTTTTTGTTCCCTGCTTTGCACAAAGCTTGAACTTCAATTTGCACACATTTAGAATTTATTTAATTATTTAATTTCAAGCTAATATACAGTTGAATTTCATGTAATGCACCACAAATTCATTGAAATTATCTCTAAATTTCACAATAACATACAAGTCCTCATCCCCAATAAATTCTAATTACAAAGCCATCTTAATGCAGATCCCATATATTTCACAAAACGAAAAGCTCGAAAATTAGATAACACCATATTGGATGTGAACCCAATCAGTTGACAAAGAATCAGAACTTCATCTTTTATAAATATGTATTATATATAATTGATGTGCTTATGCAACAACAGTTCTTTAACAATCTTATTTTACTAAATTAAATGAAAAAAAAAAATATATATATATATATCTCCTCTTAACAAATAAAAACTTCTAAAAGTAGAATTATTGGTGGGGCAAAGAGGAGAATCATTGGTGAATTAATTTGGCTATGGAGTGCTAAAAATAAATATTGATTGTTATCCAGCAGGGTGACCAAAGGTAGTCCACTGCACCAAAAAACAAACAAAACTACTGTACTTCCATATTAAGCAAGACAGACATCACAAAATGGCCCATCAAGTTCTTTATTCTTTAGCACATATCTGTTAATATCAAATTTAAATTAATTTATTAACTCAGTGCAATTAACAACGGCTAACATAAAATTAGCAGTTGCCAATCAGTGATGCAAGTGTTATAAACACAAGAGATCAACTATCCCTGACGGTTATATGATGATCAACGGTTACAAGCCCCGACGGAATGGTTCCGTAACGGGACCGTAGTATTTCCCTATAAACATTACAAAAATTGGAAAACATAAGAAAAAATAGAAAAACAAGAGATTAAATGCCACTCCACCGACACTCTAAGCCAGCACATGAAAAAAGATTTTTCTTTTTTCATTTTTTTTTTTCTTTTTTTTCAATTGAAAAAAAGCATAAAAACACAAAAAGGAAAAAGAAAGTTGACCTACTTGGGCAAGTCAGGGTCATCCAACTCATCTCCACCATATTTGCCTCCACCTTGATGTTTAACAACTTGCAGCTTCTCATTTTGCTTTCTTCTCCATTCCTCCATTCTATCTTTCCAGGCAACAGTGCCATAGCCATACACTGCTAAATCCTTCTTCGGATCCATCGGCCTCGGCGGCACTAACAAAACACATTTACAATCTTCATAAATCAAACTCTTAATTAACAAAACCAATTACAAAAAAATTAACAACAAACACTCACAAGTCATGGATGAATCCGTATACGGCACCGGGTGCACCCGCTTCCCACGACCCGCAAAAGGAGGGATAATTAGAGCATGCTTATCAGCTGAAATCGTATCATCCTTCAAAAAAAAAATAAAAATCTCAAAATGTCATCAAAATTTTCACAATCAAAATCCAATCTTTCTTCCCAAAAGAGAACAAGAATCAGAAATATGTTCTACGGTTCTACCTCTTGGCCGTAGGTAAGAAGAGGGATCTCAGAGTTGACAGGATCCAACTCCGATTGATTCGTGATGCCGGAAGCAGAACGTCCCAATCGATGGGAATAGCCTGCTTCGGAGAACTGCTGTGGATCTCTCTTGTCGTGTCCGTCACCGTAATCGAACTCATTCTCGAGGTCGTCAAACTCGTCCTCGTCCTCGTCCCCGTCGACCCGCGGGCTGCCCTTGATGCGCTTGTACCTGGTCTTGCACTGCGGGCACGCCTGGTTCCCTTCCCGCCGCTCGTACTCGTAGCAAGGTCTGCACACTGGGAAGGCGCACTCGTTGCAGGCCACGAATGGCTCGCCGTCCACGCTGAACTCGATGTCGTCGCCGCAAATCTGGCAAATCTGGCTCGTTAGCTCCTTCACCGACGTCACCTGCCAAACGGAGAATATTGTTAATTCACTGTATGGGAAGTAGATCGAGAGGTTCCCGTTAACGATTTAAATTCCTTTAATTCAGTGAGGTAAAAAGGAAATTACAGGAGATTTTGTAGCGGCGCTGAAATCTAGAAAAGTTGAGAACAGGAGAAGCTAAATCAGGCAATAATTTGCTAAAAAATGATCCATTAAAGGGGGTCAATATTCAGCTAAATCACACGCTTGTAAAAAAAAAAAAAAAAAAAAAAAAAAAAAAAAAACAGCAGATTTTGCCCACGAATAGCTCAAAATTTAGCCTCAAATCTTCACGAACACACAGAACAGTTAAAATAATTGAGTTTAATCCCATAAAAACAGAGGGGGGAAAAGGAAGAAGACAGTGAAGAAACTCACTCTTCCAATTTCATCAGCATTGATGAGTACGAACTCATTCCTGTTATGCGAGCCAGCCACGAGCCTCCCTTTAGTGTCCATCTCACAAGTAAGTTAGAATATCCTTGAATAATTTGGCTTTGAAAAAAAAGGGAAAATCAGAATAAAGAGATAGCACGAAGAAAGAATGTCTTCAGGGCAAGACCCATTAGCACACGCCACTGAACTGAAGAGAGAAAGCAAGAGAAATGTAGAAGAAGCCCTCTCTTGTGAGTCTTTATTCTCCGCCTCACTTGTCACGCATTATTAAACAATGAAGTGAAAATGATGCACTAACAGACACAGCAGAAGAAGAAGAGATAGATAACTATTGCAGCATTCGGTGAGATGGAAGTGTCGGTTTTCAAATGAAGAGAAAAAAAGGGAGAGACTTTGATGTTTGTGTGTGTGTTTCTCTCTCTCTCTCTCTCTTGATTCTTTTCTTGAGAGAAGAGAACTCACCTGTTTTATGATTATGATTATGATATGATAATAGTAATAAAGGGTACTTTTCTCTCTCTCTCTCTCTCTCTCTCTCTCTCTCTCTCTCTCTCTCTCTCTTTCTTGTTTTTCTGATATATGAGCTGTGTGGTGTGGTTCAGAGAATCAAAAGCCACGGGGGTCTCAACTTTGAAGAAAAATTGATCGCCAAAGACAAACCAACAAAACTGCGTGTTTCTTTATAATAAAAAAAAAAAAAAA